CCCAGCTTCGGTTTGGAGTATGGAGTTTAGGGTTTAGGGTTTAGGGTTTAGGGGTTCAAGGGGGGGATGTAACCCAAGGTTCCCTAATACTCCCTATTACTCCCTAAGGCTCCCTAAGCTTCCCTAAGGTTCCCTAAGTACCTATTTGTCTTGAACCCCCCTCCCTTAAGAACATTACAAAAGCTGTACCCGCGACATAGCACCCCAAGTGTTAGGGTATAGGGTAGGCCCTAAACCCGAAACCCCACATCCGGAACCCTAAACCCTAAAAGGGTTGCCTGCTTACCCTAAGCCCTAAAAAACCTTTGATGCTAGTAGTCGGGCCTTACACTTGTGGTGGACATGAAAATCCACAAGGGTCTCTATGAAGTAAGGAATACGGTTCAGGTTTTAGGGTGTACGGTTTAAGTTGCACAGGGCGTCTGGGGTGTGGGATTGGGGGTGTTTTGTATACAAGGGGTGGGATTTGGTAGCACAACCCTTATGTACAGCCAACCTCTCCACATCAAGTCCCCTCCGCCATTCAAGACCCTTTAGTTGTTTAGGGTTGTTTGGGGTTAACTAGGGTGAATTAGGGTTCATTGGGGTTAATTAGGGTTCAGGGTTTAGGGTTACATTTGGGTTTAGGGTTTAGGGTTTAGGGTTTAGGGTTTAGGGTTTAGGGTTTAGGGTTTAGGGTTTAGGGTTTAGGGTTTAGGGTTTGGGGTTCGGGGTTTAGGGTTTAGGGTTCAGGGTTTGGTTCACATCTCTGGCATTTTGACCTTCAGCATCCTAAGCAGCACCTCAGAGCCTCGCAGCGCCCGAAACCCTGAGCCCTAAGCCCTGCAACCCTAAACCCCTAGACCCTAAACCCCTAACCCCCAACTTCTAAACCCCAAACTTGATTCCCTAAGCCCCTGAACCCCAAACCCTAAACCCTAAACCCTAAACCCCAAACCCTAAACCCTAGACCCTAAACCCTAAACCCTGGAACGCTGCTGAGGTCGCCCACACCGGCTTGCGGCGACGGCAGCGATGCCTCCGCCTCCACTAGGGCGAGTTCGGAGGAACCGGTGTTAGGGTTCAGGGTTTAGGGTTTAGGATTTAGGGTGTGGGGTGTAGGGTTTAGCGTTTTGGGTTTAGGAGGTTTGGGATGTTTGGGTTGAGGGCTTAGGGTTCCCCTTGGGGTGTCCTTAGAAGGCTTCAGGGTTTAGGGTTCAAGCTTTGAGTTGTTTTGTGGTGTGTCAGGACATCCGTGGGTTTTTCAGGATGTTGGTTTTTCAGGGGTTCTTGGACGGGTTTTGGGGTCTAGGGTTGAGGATGTAGGGCTAGGGCCTCTGCGGGCTTTGGTGCAGTTTTTGGGGGAAGTATACACAGTAAACCTAAACCCTAAGCCCTAAGCCCTAAACCCTACACCCTAAACCCTAAACCCTAAACCCTAAACCCTATGCCCTACAGACAAACGGCAGCGACAGCACAGCAAGAGGCAATACTTCTGTTGAGAGGCCGAGCAAGAGCTTACCTTTGTGGTACTTTACTGTGACTTTAGGTCCTTAGCCTTTTTGGCTTTATTGGGTTTCTTCATAAGGCAGCTAATTTTTTTTTTTAGCTACCCTTCTGAGTGTAGCCAAGTTATGTCTGGTCTTTGCCAGAGGTGTTGACCCTGGTTGCAAGGCTGTTTGCGGCTTGTGGCGGTTTGGGGTTACAGGCCAACACGACCCAACAACACCTCACACCTGAATCCCTGAACCTTAAACCCCAAGCCCATAATCTTAAACCCTAAACCCCAAGCCCATAATCTTAAACCCTAAACCCTAAACCCATAATCTTAAACCCTAAAACCTAAACCCAGAATCTTAAACCCTAAGCCCTAATCCGTAAACTCTAGACTTGCAAGCCCCACAAGCACTTAGCATTTGCCAGAAGCCTCAGGAGCCGCCGGACGAGGAGAAAGCTCAGCTAGCAGCAGGCGCGTTGAGGGTGTAGGGTTAGGGTTTAGGGTTTAGTAGGGTTTAGGGTTGGGTTCCGGGGAAAAGGGGGGGGGGGGGGGGGGGAGGGGGGGGGAGTGGGGGGGGGGGGGAGGGGGGGGGGGGGGGGAGGGGCGAGGGGGGGGGGGGGGGGGGGGGGGGGGGGAGGTGGGGGGGGGGAGGGGGGGGGGAGGGGGGGGGCGGGGGGGGGGGGGGGGGGGGTGGGGGGGGGGGAGGGGGGGGGGGGGGGGGAGGGGGGGGGGGGGGGGGGGGTGGGGAGGGGGGGGTAGGGAGGGGGGGGGGAAGGGGGGGGTGGGGGGGGGGGGGGGAGGGGGGGGGGGGAGGGGGGGGGGGGGGGAGGGGGGGGTGGGAGGGGGGGGGGGGGAGGGGGGGGGGGGGGGGGGGGGGGGGGGGGGGCGGTGGTGGTTGAGGTTTCCTTTTACGGTGGGTTTAGGACTCAAAGGTTTTTAAATAGGCTAGGGCCCTAAGCCCTAAACCCTAAACCAGTGTTTAAGAGCTGGGGCTTCCTTAGGATGCCCAAAGTGTGGGGGTTTCGGATTGCTTGGAGGTTCAGGGTGCTTGCAACCCCAGAGTAATTGCACTTATGGGCCACTTGCAAGCCCCTTAAATCCCATAAGCCGTAATATGGGTGATAGTTGGGTTATAAGTACAGTTCAGGACTGCTAGTAGAAGAGGGAAACATTCCAAAGGGTACTGTAGCCCTATAAGGCAGTTTGGGGACAATCAGTAGACCTCCCACCAAAAAAGACCACCTTGAAAGATAAGTTGAGCAGGAAACGTGGTGCAGGACAAAACTAGAGGGGCACAAAAAACCAAATAAACATCAGGATCCTAAAAATTGGGGTATAAGGGCCCCTAAAAAAGAGGGATTCTAGAAAGCCCTGTTTGTAGAATCCTTGCGTCTATGTGGGTTTTTGGGCCCCTATTGCCCCTATTACAAACCTCGGACTCTTGAAGCAAGCCAGGAGGGGCGATCAGGCCTTATAATCCCCCCACAATCAACCCTGCAAAGGGCTTGTTGTTACCCATCCTTGTAGAGCCCCTGAACCCTAAGCCCCAAGACCCTTGAGCACCCTAAAACAGGCACTTTGAAACCCTAAACCCTCTAAACCCTAAACCCTTAACCTTAAGAAACCCAAACCTTAAAAAACCCAAACCCTAAACCCTGAACCCTAAACCCTAAACCCTAAACCCTAAACCCTAAACCCTAAACCCTAAACCCCATGGCCCCCCACGCACACCCCAAGGTGCGAAACGCCTGATGGAAGAAATGGGCTGGACCCCAGAGGCCAGGGTTTCGGTTTAGGGTTTAGGGTTTAGGGTTTAGGGTTTAGGGTTTAGGGTTTAGGGTTTAGGGTTTGGGGTTTGGGGTTTAGGGTTTAGGGTTTAGGTTTAGGGTTTAGGGTTTAGGGTTTAGGGTTTAGGGTTTAGGGTTTGGGGTTTAGGGTTTAGGGTTTAGGGTTTAGGGGCTTCGTCACTAGCCCTATAAGCCCTAGACCCTAACACTTTCAGGAAGGTCATGGCTATCTTGGAGCATCGGGGCACTTAGTAAGTAGGCAATAATTGCCTTAATATGGCTGATAAGTAGCTATCAGTATAGTTTCCTTACTTATAGCCCCATTTACTAAGTCCCTTGACCCGTTAAAGTACAAGTCCAAGGAGGAGGAAAAGGGGAGAGTAGGAGTGAGATAAGGGTTGAGGGTTTACGTATTAGGCCAGTACGGCCTTAAACAAACCCGAAACCCTAAGCCCTGGAACACTTCTGTCTGTTGGGGAAGTGGGGTGTTTAGGGTTTAGGATCTAAGGTTTAGGGTATTCGGGTGATGGAACAGTCCTACTTGGAACATCGGAGGTAAGTAGGTGTAAGTAGAGTCGTCAGTCTGGTACACAGCCACCTTGATTAGGGTAACCCGTTTAATCCCTAAGCCCTATACTCCGAACTAAGGACTGCTTGCTCAGACCCTCTAAGATCCCTGATGCTTCAAGAAGGTTTCCTTGCAAAGCCAGGTAGAAGCACAGCAAGCAACCCATCAGTCAAGGCTTAAAAAATGTAGGGCTTAGGGATGAGGCTATTTTGGCAGATGGTAGAGGCCGCTCCTCACCCCCCCCCCCCCACCCCTACTTTAGCTATAGTTAAGGGATCGATCGTTGCATACCTTTCGCCTAAGTGCCAGATCACTTCACATCTCTGGTTCGTTTTTTTTTAGGATGGAGGGTTTGGTGCCTTCTTAGCGTACTCACAGTAGGATCCAGAGGTCACCTCTCGCCCTATTTTGTTTCGGGCACATGAACCCTTGGGGGTTAGTAGTTTGGGACAAGGGTAGCTATTTTTATGGTCCCTTAGACATTGGCCCCTTACCTGTTGTAAACGTTTCTGAAGGATCGGCCCTTGGGTTAGAAGGGCTCCAATCAGGGGCCCATACTTCGGGCCCCTGTAGCTTCCCTAAGAACTTGGGAGTAGGGTTTAGGGTTTAGGGTTTAGGGTTTAGGGTTTAGGGTTTAGGGACGGCGCGCTCTGCAGCCGTTTCGGCTGGGTCGGTATGATGTCATTCCTTGGCACGCCTCTATAGGGTTGAGATTCATGCGCTAACGACGATTGACCTAAAGCTGGGCAGAACCGTTCTTGATCGAAAACAACCTACCAGAACGAGAATCCAAGCCTTTCTATCTCGGGTACTAGACACCTAGGTTTTTGTGTCCCTAGCATACGTGGCATTCCTTGCTTCGGCCGTGTGTCATCTCCCTAAATCCCTAAACCCCTAAACCCTAAACGCATGCCCATGAGCATCTACTCGGACCCGAGTAGGCCCTTATTTCCTTCTTTTAGGGTTGTGGTTCCCTTATACTCAAAAAGGGCACCCTTTTCATTCCTAGGTTGCTCCTGGGTCTCGTCTACGTGCCGTCATCTGGATGTAGAACCACCTCCACCTTGAGTCCTATAAAACCCTCGAACCGTGCATAGTTGCATAGCACCTCCCCTAGAAGGTAAAAGGCTTAAGGGTCACCTCCTAGAGGGGCACCAGATCAAAGCAGATGGTGCCTCGCGACCCGTTCTACCGGAGGCTGGTTTAGGAACAACTTCTAAAAAATGCTTTTCGGGTTTAGGGGTTTAGGGGTTTTGGGGGCCCAGTGTTGACTCGCCCGCCTGAATTAGGGCGTCCGGGTTTTCAGGGCAGGTTCAAGGGTGGAGTGTTGGGGGTGCTAGTTTGCCCATTGGCATGTGTTGTGTTGTTCCGACTGGGTGCAAGAGGATCTAATTTGAGAATGAATATATATATATATATATATGTATATATATATATATTAATATATATATATATATATATGTAGATATATATATATATGTATATATATATATATATATATACATTTCTTCTGAGGGTTTCGAGAGCCAACTTAAGGTCAATGAAAGAGGGAAAGAAGTTTGTGGCTCGGCTTGCTTCCTAACACCCTAAACCCTAAACCCTAAAACCCTAAAACCCTAAAACGTAAACCCTAAAACCCTAAAACCCAAAAACCCTAAAACCCTAAGGGAGGGGGGGGGGGGGGTGAGGGTTGAGGGGTTTAGGGGTTTAGGGGTGTTCGGGGTTATATACGACCGGTAAAGGCGCAACTAACTCCCTCTTCTCAACCCTTGAAAACATGAGGACGTCAGCCCAGTCTTTGCCTTCAACCCAGAACAGGGTTCAGGGTTTGGGGTGTACGGTTTAGGGTTTAGGCCAACACCCGAAAGCAAACCCTGACAATCTGACAACACCTAAACCCTAAACCCTCAACCCTAAACCCTAAACCCTGAAAAACCCTCTCAACCCCAAGCTCTAAACCGTGGACCAGGCCCATTCAAGATCTGAGTTTGCATCCGGATCCTTTCTGGGGCCTGCCGACAAGCAACGTAGACTGGTGTCTCCTGGCGAGCGTTTCCAAGCCGTGTTGGTTTAGGGGTTTAGGGGTTTAGGGGTTTAGGGGTTTAGGGGTTTAGGGGTTTAGGGGTTTAGGGGTTTAGGGTTTAGGGTTTAGGGTTTAGGGTTTAGGGTTTAGGGTTTAGGGTTTAGGGCTTAGGGCTTCAAAATTGTGGGTTTGGGTTTGGGCTTTATGGTGGGGATTCATTCTGATTTGCTTGCTGAGTGTCCTGTGTTCCCCGAAAGTTATATATATATATATACAGAAAACGTCATATATATATATATATATAAACCTAAACCCTAAACCGTACACCCTAAACCCTAAGCCCAAACCTACGTGGTGTCTCATGCATCGAGCCTGTGTAGGCTGTAACTCTCGAATGCACTTAGGTTGCGAGTTGGCGTGAGCCATAGTCCATCTGTTCAGAATTCATCCAACGAAGTGATACACCTAAGCCCAAAGCCCTAAACCCCAAGCCCTAAAACCCCTAAAACCCACCTCCCAAGCTGGGTCCACACATCCCAGGTGAGGCGAACTATGCTCACACTCGCTACGTTGCTGAATTCTTCAACACGCTTTCATCTCTTCCGATGGTGGCGGCCGCTTGTCCGAAACGAGCCAAACACCCCTAAACCCGAAACCCTAAACCCTAAACCCTAAACCCTAAACCCTAAACCCTAAACCCTAAACCCTAAACCCTAAACCCTAAACCCTAAACCCTAAACCCTAAACCGTTGCTTTAGGGGCAGTCACATGGCCCCTAAATGTGGTCCCTTACCTCCTTTAAAGAGTTCTGAAGCATGGGCCCTAGGGTTCTGTAGATTATATAAGGGGCTTAACCCTAAACCCTAAACCCTAAACCCTAAACCCTAACCCCATGTAAGGGCCCATAGTAAGGGACCTTGTAACTACCCCAAGGGTTTAGGGTTTAGGGTTTAGGGTTTAGGGTACGGGCTCATATATAAAGTGCAAATGAGGGCTCATACAAACGACCCTCCAGACCACCCCACGAATATTACCCCAACTCGTATTTGGGTGTAGGGATGAACTAGACGTGGGGGTTACAAAAATAGGGGACCCATAAAACAGACCCCTGTATAATAGGACCCCTCATATCAAGGACCCCAACAAGGTACCCCTAAAATCGTAAACCCCCCATGTGTTCAGTATGTTAGGCCGTGATTAGACCCAGGGTTTAGGTGTACTTGGAGGTTCATGTCACTTAATAACCCAATTATAGCTGTACTTCTAACCCAAGTATAACCCTATTAGTGGGTTCTAAGTACAGTTATAATTCGGTTAACAAGAACCATGAACCTCCAAGTAGTTCTCGGAGCCAGTGGCGCTTTTCATCCCAGGCTAACACGGCTTGTGTTTGAGGATTTCGTCACCCGGGCCCTGAACCCTCTGTAGACCCTAAACCCAAGACCCTGAACCCTGAACCCTGAGCTTCCTAAACCTGAACCTTAAGCCCGTGAACCCTAGTGCTGCCTGAACTGATGAGGTCTCTATCTGGGGTCTCCCTAAACCTTAAACCCATAAACCCATAAACCCACAAACCCACAAGCCCATAAACCCGTAAACCCATAAACCCATAAACCCATAAACCCATAAACCCATAAACCCATAAACCCATAAACCCATAAACCCATAAACCCTAAACCCTAAACCACCTTAACCTGATGAGGTCTCTCTCTGGGGTCTCTACCTCTGCGCCACGTACCGTCTGGAGCCCCGCTTCTACCTCTGCTGGGCCGGCATTGGTGCCGTAGGCCGGCTCAAGGGTTTAGGGGTTTAGGGTTTAGGGTTCAGGGTTCAGGGTTTAGGGTTTAGGGTTTAGGGTTTAGGGTTTCGGGTTTAGGGTTTAGGGTTTAGGGTTTAGGATTTCGTGTTTAGGGTTTAGGGTTTAGGGTTTCGGGTTTAGGGTTTAGGGTTTTAGGGCCTGGGGTTTAGGGCGGGAGGATCCTGCGACTGCAGCCTTGAAACTTGAGTGCACCCTGAACCCTTTCCTCTACACCCTAAACCTGTAACACTTGTCCTCAACCCTAGAACTGAACCTTGAACCCTGAACCCTGAACCCTAAACCCTAAACCCTAAACCCTAAACCCTAAACCCTAAACCCTAAACCCTAAACCCTAAACCCTAAACCCTAAACCCTAAACCTAAACCCTAAACCCTAAACCCTACTCCAGGCATTGGTAGCCTGGCCTTTCACGGCATGCTCCACCCAGCTGGGCAAGCCACGGATGAGCTCGCAATGATCTGCGCAAGCCTCGCGCCCCTCGGCTTCTTCGAGGGCCTGTACTTGGAATCCCTTTCGACTTGATAAGTGGGTTAACATGGGGTTTCTAGGGGACACTAAGTAGACTTACTAATTAAGTCAGAAGGAGCTTCCCAGCAAGGGCCTAAGGGCTTCCATCGGGCTTATCAGAGCCTTGCTGGGTTGGTTCTTTTTTGGGGGCGCCCTAAGAGGTCAAAAGCCCGAGGCCTAAACCACAGCCTCCAAACACCCTAAACCCTGATGGTTCAGGGTTTAAGGTTTGGGGCTGAAACCCTTTTAGGCTTGAGATGCTTCTGGGTTGGATGTCTCGAGGTAGGACCCTTGGGCCAAAACTGCGAAACTCAGAGTTTTGAGCCCTAAACCCTACATGGAAGTTCATGGCACTTAATAACCCAATGATAACGGCACTTGTAACCCAAGTATGACCCTAGTAGGGCTACAAGATACCCGATTCCTCCCTACGAAGAACCACTAAAGATTCACCTCAGCGCCCGGAGCCCCCAACACTACTTATAGGGTTCTTAAGGGAGGGGGGTTCAAGGGGGGGGAACCTTGGCCCCTTGAACCCCCCCTCCCTTAGGGTTCCCTATGACCTAAACCTAAACCGAAAGAATGAGCATTTGTCCCTTTACGGTTTCACTGAATGAACCCTTAGCCTGCCCACTGAACCCTACAGCCCACCACCCCCCCCCCCCCCCCCCCCCCCCCCCCCCCCCCCCCCCCCCCCCCCCCCCCCCCCCCCCCAAACCCTAAACCCTAAACCCTAAACTCTAAACCCTAAACCCTAAACCCTAAACCGTATCTAAACTCCAACCACCACCTCAGCGAGTTCAGAGTTCAGAGTTTTTTTTTCAGCTTCGTGGCTCAAGTTCTCGAGTTACTCCGTGTGTAGGCTCTTGATCTTTGCGATGCACAATGTTGTTCAACACCCCAGGAACCCTAACCGCAAACTGCAAAACCCTAAAGCCCAAGTCCTAAACCCTTTAACCCCAGACCCTGATTTTTGAGTTTGTCCCAAAAGCCTGAACCTTATCACGAAGCCTTAAGAAACCCTAGAAAGCCGGAAAACCCTTAATGCCAGCAAATCCCGAAAGCCGCTCGCCTAAACGCTTAAGTCCGACAGCCCAAAGCCTAAAAGACCTCAAATCCTACAGTAAACTCCAGAAAGTTGGAACATGGTTTAAGGATGATTAGGGCCGGGTTTCCCTTTAGTATACCTTTTAGGGTATAGGGATAAGGATGTTCCAGCTTTTTGGAGTTCACTGTAAACCCTAGCCCCTAAATGCCTCAGCAGGTTTCTGTACGTCGTCCTGGAGGTGGGTCACTTGGAAGCGCGCCGCCCATGGCTGCCGGCACTTGAGAGCCTCGGCGAAAAGGTGGTTGTTCCGAGAGCCTCCTTGGAAAAATACGTGTTTCGTACATCCCTAAACTGCTTGCCCTAAACCCTGAGCCCTAAACCCTAAACCCTAAACCCTAAACCCTTCAGCTAGGGTTCCAAGGGTGGAGTACTTGGCGGATCGGGGCACTTAGTAAGTAGGATTATCAGTACCTTGATGAGGTTTATAAGTAATTCTGTAGGGTTTAGGGTTTAAGGTTTAGGGTTTAGGATTTAGGGTTTAGAGGTTATCAGTACCTTGATTGGGTTTAGCAGTAGTTATGAGACTATCGTTGCCTTACTTTCGTTGCCTCTCTTGCTAAGTCCCCTGATCCTTTGAGCATGGCTCTTCCAGCCTGGACCCTAAACCCCAAAACCCAAAACCCTAAACCCTAAACCCGAAAGAGACTTTGGGGGGATATGCCATGTGCCTCTCCTCAAGCTCTCTAATGCACGTGGTCTCTTGGTTAGGGTCTAGGGTATAGCGTTTCGGGGACGTCCCCTGGCCTTGGTCTTCAAGTTCAGAAATATGGGCCCTGAGGGTGCTGTAACTAAGCCCAAGTGGTGTTATAAGTAAGGTAATTAGAGGTATAAGTACTTTCATGAATCCCAATCCAGGTCTTTATGACGCCTACTTACCACTGAATTAAGGTAGCTCGAGTTCTAAATACTTACATGAATCCCAATGAGGGTACTTAGACCCCCTCCTTACTAAGTGCCACGATCCTCCAAGTGAGGATGGTGTACGCCGTCGGCTTCGCTGTGGTGCCTGTGCTGCTCATTGGCGGGGCTTTGTCCTCCCTGTAAAGGGCGACGATGGGATCCCCCAAAGTCCGAAGTAAGGGTTTAGGGTTTAGGGTTTAGAAGTTTAGGGCTTAGGGACACTGTAAGAGGTCGTGCTGGAATTCCTGTTTGGTTCCATGTTGTAGTTCTTTACGCAAGCTTTTCACTGGGGTGATGAAGTATCTGGTATTGGGGTTGATTTACAGCATTCGGGTTGCGAAGACTTGGGGTTCAGGATTTATATATCCCGAAACTCCATACTAACTTAAGGGCTATACCAGTACCCGGGGGTTTAGGTTCACATGAAAAAGGCTCCTTTAAGCCCAAAAGGGTAGTTGCCCTTCTTATTCCTTAGGCTACTCTTGGGTCTAGCCCGTAGGGTTTCGGGATAAATCTGAAGCCCAAAACTTCGCAACCCTAACGCTTTAAATCAACCCCAATACCAGATACTTCATCACCCCTTGCAAGCCCAGAAACCCCCTGGAGCCAGAAGGCCCTAAATAAGGTTTTGGGTTTTTTTCAGGTGTGCATAGGAAGCCCCTTTGAGAGGCCCAAGTTTAGTATTGGCTTGCAGGTTCAGGCAGCTCCGGGAGCACTCGTATCAATACAGAATCCTGAACCCTGGCCGACGTCAAAGACATGAACTGTGTAATGTGAAGGTTTAGGGTTTAGGGTTTAGGGTTTGGGGTTTGGGGTTTAGGGTTTAGGGTTTAGGGTTTAGGGTTTAGGGTCTCGAGAGGCGGGATGAGTCCTTCGTGGAGATGGCGAGTGGAAGTCCATCGGCAAAGTCTTGGAGGAACGGGCGCCTAACAGCCAAGTTCACAACCAAGAGCGAATCGCAGAAGAAGAAGTGCATCGAGCAAGCGTGGAAGCTGACGATAACGTTGGACGATGCCAAGAAACCCGGGGTCATCTTCGCCCAAGACGAGGACGACGTCAAGAAGGTTTGGCATGGGCGCCGACTCTCGCACACCGAGGTGCAAACCCCAAACCCTAAACCCTAAACCCCAAACCCTAAAATCCCTAAACCCTAAACCCTAAAATCCCTAAACCCTAAACCCTAAAATCCCTAAACCCTAAACCCTAAAATCCCTAAACCCTAAACCCTGAAATCCCTAAACCCTAAACCCTAGAAGCTGAGAGGTTGAAACCAACAAGGACCTGGAGAGCCAAGCTGGGGTTTTCTCCTTATCCTAACAGGGGTGTAGGGTTTAGGGTTTAGGGTTTAGGGTTTAGGGTTTAGGGTTTAGGGGTTAGGGTTTAGGGTTTAGGGTTTAGGGTTGGATGATAACAGGGGGTACTACAATCCCTGTTAAGGTCTGTTGGTATAAGGGGGAACATATCAAGGCACATGTCCGAAGCCCTAAACCCTAATCAGGGCTCATGGGACTTAAGGCTGAGGGCTGCGATGCGCGAGGGTTATTTTGGGGCTTAGGGTTTACGGTTCAGGGTTTAGGGTTTAGGGTCTAGATTTTTTGGGTTTAGGGTTTAGGGTTCAGGGTTTAGGGTTCAGGGTTTAGAGTTTGCGGTGTAGGGTGTAGGGTTCTAGATTTGTGGGGTGGCGCATCGTTTAGATCAGCCTACAAGTGAATGCCTCTGAGGCCCGAGAGGGCTAGGCAGGCCAGTGGTGCCCTTTACTTGTTTTGTGTTAGGGGTTCCCTTACTGGGTTTTGGAGTACTACACTTTAATACTCTTTTTGGCTCCGGGTTCCTATAATGGCTACTTAAACCTTAAAAGTATATACTTTTTTCCAGGGTCTACTCCAAAGCCTGAAGCTAAGCTTGTCAAGTAACCAACCCCCAAAAGGGTACCCTTAGCGGGTAATACTGGGCTGCCAAGTAGGGTTTAGGGTCTCTGGGCTTTCTGGGGCTAATGTTGACTATTTACCCTCATTCGATACAAGCCTCTTCTACCCATAGAAATTGACTTTTCGAAAAGGGGGGGCCCAATGCCTACTCCAGGTAGAGGATCAGCTTTTTGGGCGGTTTACTGAGCTTCTTGACAAGGCAGCCAAGAGTTGAAATTTGTAGCCAGGCGCCAAGTGCAGGCAAGAAAAGGAACAAGAGGTGCATGGTTAGGGTTTAGGGAATTCGGGCTTAGGTAGCGTGTCGAAGGACTAAAGGACATTCCCTTACGAGGCACCTTAGCAGTTCTTTGGGGCTTAGTTAGGGGCTACTTAGGTATACAGGGACAATATAAGGTGTATATATATATATATACATACATATATTTATATATTGGTGATTTAGGGGAATAAGATTAACGGTTTTTTTTCTAGGAGTCCTTCCTTATACCAATTAAACCATTTACGGGTCGTTGCATGGTGCCTTTATATGGTCCCCTACCTTCTTTAAAGGGGTTGGTTTAGGGTTTAGGGTTTAGGGTTTAGGGTTTAGGGTTTAGGGTTTAGGGTTTAGGGTTTAGGGTTTAGGGTTTGATGTATGGGCCCTGAACTGTGACCTCCTTGAGGCATACTTTACCTCGCCCTTCTTCTTCCCCTTCTTCGTGGCCGCCTACGGCGCAACGGTGCTACTCATCATCTTCCAGGCCAATGGGGCGCCCTAAACCCTAAACCCTAAACCCTAAACCGTAAACACTACATAGGGCCCTGGGGACATTGACCACGTGGCATACCAAGTGCTTCTAGCGGCTATTCTCTCCGGATGGGTCCCTAATTTAATGCTACGATATAGGAACCTGTGTAAGGGTATGCACGACACATACGATAGAGATACACAGACCCTTTGGGGTATCTAAATTCTCCCTCAGACATTTGAAGTATGCCTCAACCTGACCTGTCCTGGCATTACTAACTGGTTAAAAATTTTGGGGGATACAAGCCAATTCATAGTTGAGGTAATCCTGTATGGCTAGCGAAGGGACTGCAACTAGGATCATAACTGCAGTGAATAGCCAGTTAGTCAGTCCCATGAGCAAGGTTCTGGAAATCAGAGCCCTAAACCCTAAACCCTGAACCCTAGGCGCTGCGAGCCTAGACCCTTCTTCAACGGGTGTACGCGGACGTCCCAAGTTGCCCCAAAGCATGTGAAGACCACCCTAACTAAACCCTACACCCTAGCCCTAAGCCCTAAACCCTAGCCCTAAACCCTAAACCCCAAGCCATATACCCCAAACCACCCCTGAAGCTTCACACCCCGGACAGGCGTACCGAGTCTACCAGCTCTACACCGAGGAGACGGGTCCTTTGGTTCAGGGTTTAGGGTTTGGGGTTTAGGGGGTTTAGGGTTTAGGGTTTGGGGTTTAGGGTTTAGGGTTTAGGGTTAGGGGTGTAGGCTTTTTGGTTCAGGGTCTAGAGTTCAGGGTTTGCAGCAGGGTTTCATGTCTAATTATATAGGGCATGCTAGGTTTCTGACTTAGGGTTTAGGATTTAGGGTGTAGGATCTAGGATTTAGGGGTCTAGGGTTTAGGGTTTAGGATTTAGTGGTTTAGGGTTTAGGATTTTGAAAGCCCAAGCCCACCGAAACCCAGGTTTCAAGGTATGTTGAATCCCAGTGCCACGGTCTTTACCGACTTACCTTAAACCCTAAACCGTAAACCCCCTTCATTCCTGGCCCGAAACCCTAAACTCAGAACCCCTTACTGGTCTGCCCTAAGCCACCCCGCCTTAAATCTGCCGCCTACGCCCAAAGCCTCCATTTGCAGTTTAGGGTTTAGGGTTCAGGGTTTAGGGTTTAGGGTTTAAGGTTCAGGGTTTAGGGTTCAGGGATCAGGGTTTAGGGTTTAGGTCCGTCTACAGCCAGAGGACGGAGAGGCGGCAAAGTGGCAGAGATTCCTCTTCTGGGTCGCGGCCGTTGGCTACCCCGCCTCTTGGGTTTAGGCTTCGTCAGTGCTTAAGGCTGAGGCCCCTTTGCACGGGCCCACCCGAAACCCTAAACCTTATAAACCCTGGGGCTTGGGTTTGGGGTGTAGGGCTCAGGGTTTAGGGCTCGTCGTGCTAGAGGTCAGCTTGGAGGGTTTATGCGACCCCTTGGACGGTTGTGCTAGAGGTCTCAGCCCTTAAGCCCTGAACTCTGAAGCCTAAACCCTAAGCCCTAAGCCCTAAGCCCTAAACCCTAAACCCTAAACCCTAAACCCGAAACCCTAAACCCTAAACGCTGTACGGCTGGGGAAGCAGAGACTCAAGCGCAGCTCCCTATGGCCCTCTGAGCCTTCAACTCCACTGGCTCAGGGTTTAGGGTTTAGGGTTTAGGGTTTAGGGTTTAGGGTTTAGGGTTTAGGGTTCAGGGTTCAGGGTGACAATTCCTCAACTCGAACAGCCCCCGTCCCCCCCCCCCCCCCCGTCCCCCTGGCAAGAAGAACGACAAGCGCTGAAGATGACTGACTCTGGCCATCGGACATATTCATAATATGTTCACCCTAAGCCTTGAATAAACCTTAACCCTTAAACCCTAAGCCCTGACTCCTTTAAGAAGACCCTTCGTATGTGTGAATGCATTTCGGTCGGAAACGAAGGGTCAACTTGGCTTGCAGGGATCTTAAGTTGTGCAATCCGAAGGCGTCGAGTTGCGTAGGGTTAGGCTTTGGGGTTTAGGGTTTACGGTTTAGTGACTAGGGTTTATGTTTAAGGGTTTGTGCTTTAGGGTTTAGGGTTTGGGATTGGGGTTTTTGGATTTTGGTGGCTTAGAGCAAGTGAAGGCCCTCCCAACAAGGCCCTGCTCAAGCCCTGAAAGCCTTGCTTAGGCGGGCTTCCTGTTCCTTTGGGTGCCGGAGAACGCCCTGTGCCCCGGACTTTTCCGTTCGGGTTTAGGGTCTATAGGGTTTACGGTTTAGGGTTTCGGGTTTTCGGATCCGGGGGAGAAGGCCCTTAAACAACACACCCGAAGCAAAGGTTTAGGAGTTCAGGGTTTAGGGGTTCAGGGTTTCACAGTTTAGGGTTTTAGGGGTGTAGGACTTCAGGATTTCAGGGTCGATGGTGGGTTTAGTAGTTCAGGGTTTCAGGGTTTAGGGTTTCGGGCTTTGCAAGGGATTTATGGCCGTTGGGTTAGTCCGAGGCGACTGCAACCTAAACCAGAAGCCCAAACCCTAAACCCTTACCTGCAACAAAACTCCATCCCCTAAACCGGCCCTATACCCTGAACCCTGCACTGTCGAAATCGCCCTGAACCCTAAACCCTAAACTAAACCTAAACCTGTCAGCCCTAAACAAACCCTAGACTACCCTAATCCGGTTGAAAGAGTCTAGTATGTAAACAACCGGGACGGAGTACAGGGTTCAGGGTTTAGGGTGCAGGATTCCGACAAAATGAAGTTGGCTTTTCAACTTAAACCCTGAACTACACCGAACCCCTGAACCCTAAACCCAAGTTGGTAGTACTACATCCTAGAATATCTAGCGGTCTGGCTAGAAGCAGGACCTTAAACGCAAAACCCTCAACCCTAAACGTCGAAACAAAGCAAGGAATGTCAACCACGGCCCTAAACCCTAAACCCTGAACCCTGAACCCTAACCTTAAACCCTAACCCCTAACCCCTAACCCCTAAACCCTAGACCCCAAACCCCAAACCCAAACCCCAAACCCTAAACCCTAAACCCTAAACCCTAAACCCTAAACCCTAAACCCTAAACCCTAAACCCTAAACCCTAAACCCTAAACCCTAAACCCTAAACCCTAAACCCTAAACCCTAAACCCTAAACCCTAAACCCTAAACCCTAAACCCCCTCCCCCCCCCCCCCCCCCCGCCCCCCAAGCCCTTGGGCTCGTATAGGTGCCCGATCTACCCCAAGTTGTTCCAGGTACGATGCTCATGGCAGGGTTTAGGGTTTAGGGTTTAGGGTTTAGGGGTTAAGGCTTAGTGCATATCAGGACTTGTGGGCTAGGGTACTCTACACCTTCCAGGGCTATTGGGGGGGGGGGGGGGGGGTAGATGACCCCCCAACCCTAACTAGGACCAAGACCAGGCCCTAAATTCCTTTGTTTAGCGTTCAGGTTCCCTCATAAACCCTTTAAATAAAAAAGGGTACTCTTTAACACCTCAACCCTAGCAACCCTAAACCCTAAACCACAAACCCCCACTATAGGGGCAGGCCAGGGCAGGCCATAGGGGCCACCCACCGACCCTCACAGGGCCCATAGCTTTACCCGCATTTGGCCCTCATGTTGGAGCTGTTGGGTGCTTGCGAACTCAGAAAAACATCTGCCATCGCACAATGCACTTCCGCGTTTTTTAGGGTTTGGGGTTTAGGGTTTAGGGTTTGGGGTTTAGGGTTTGAGGTTTAGGGTTTGGGGTTTAGGGGTTAGGCTTAGGCAGTTGTCGCGCACTAGCGAAGGGGTTTGCAGCTTGATGTGGTTCGGGGGGCATCTAGGCCTCAGCTTCAACCCAAAATCCCCAAATCCAAATTCCAAATAAACAACCCTAAACCCTAAACCCTAAACCCTAAACCCTAGACTCATGCAGAATCATCAGACCCCTCCCAAACAATCCTGAACCCTGCGTGCGGCAACTTGCTTGTCATTGGCCCCAAGGGTCCATGCACCCCTAAATCCTACAACCCAAAACCCTAAACCCATATATAGAGTATATATTTGGTGTGGGCTCAGGATTAGGATTATGTTTGCATTGCAGTCCTGGGTTTAGCGTCTAGGGTCTTGGCGTTCAAGGGCTCACTGCGCTTAGGATTTGGGTTTAGGGTTTAGGGTTTAGGGTTTGGGGTTTAGGGTTTAGGGTCTAGGGTTTAGGGTTTAGGGTTTTTTTCGCTCCGGGCAGACTTATCGTGCGTGGAAGTACGTGTTTGGCGCAAGCAGAGTTGGTGGGGTTCTTGGTTTTCGCAGTCGTGCCGGCTTCAGGCTTATAGGGTTTAGGGTTTAGGGTTTAGGGTTCAGGGTTTAGGGTTCCTGGTTTTTTTGGTTGAAAGCGGATGCTTTGTTCACGCTTCTTCCGGAGGCTTTGCACCTGCATGCCTTGTTCCACATCGTCACCACCATCTCCCCGTGCGCTCGGCCAACTTGTGTCGGACTGGGGGACACGTATATCTTTGGGCCCTACTAGTACACCTGCAAAACCCCCTAAACCCCAAACCCAAAACCCGAAATCCTCAACCCCTAAATCCTGAATCCTTACCCTAAACCCGCAAGATGTAGCCGAGCTGCTCTTTCGTGCTCTCAGCAGTCTTGAAAAGCCACCTCTGGGCCGTAGGCTTTAGGGACCCTAAGGTAGTTCAGGGTGTAGGGTTTTAGGGTTTAGGGTTTAGGGTTTAGGGTTTAGGGTGTAGGGTTTTAGGGTTTAGGGTTCAGGCATACAGCGCTTGAATTATGGCGTCAAGGGTCTTTGGTAGGGGGTTTGGGTTTAGGGCCTTCGATTTTAGGGTTTAGGGGGGGGCTCATGACAGGTATTGCTATGTCGTCTTCATGACATACCACCGCTGCACGGTGCTGAAACGCGATGCCGAGCACCGCTGGGGCATCTGAGCGGCATGTAGTTATAGGCCTAGCCCCTGGACCCAAGACAAGACCCTATAAACCCTGCACCTCCCTAAGCCGTGCACCCTTCACCCTAAACTTCAAACCTTAAACCCAGGGTTTTACAGGGCCAAGGGTGGGGTACCCTAAGCTTCAATCTAGAAGGGGGCGGCCGCTACACACACCTTAAACCCTAAACTCTAAGCCGACTGTTTTTGAGGAGCTCCGAATTGGCCTTCTTGAAGGCCCTTGAGCTGGTCTTAGGTATATTTTCAGGGAGTTTGTGGGGAATGTCATCCCAGAACCCTGAAAGCCTACAACACCCGTAGACCCTCAAATCTCAACCCTAAGCCCCCGAAACCCTAAGCTGTAAGTGCGGAAGCCCCCGAAAGCCTAAAACTCTAAACTCTAACTCCCCAAGCCCTCGAAGCCCTTGAACCCTGACACCCCACAACACGGAAGCCCTGAAAACCAAGAACCCTAAAACCCTACAA